AACAAAAAGAATAATCATAATTTAATTTATTCAATAATTTATTTATTCAATCAATTCTATGCATTTTTTATTAAAAAAATATTATAAAACATTATGAATATCATAATAATTACAGAATACATTCTTAATATTTGGCTAAACATTTTTAAAAATACACTATTATATATAATAATGCAATTAATTAGATAACAATGGATTATATTATTATATAATAAAGAGTTAGATATATTGTTACTTTGTGAGTGCAATTTTAATAATCTTGTATTCTGTTTTATATATTACTGGAAACGCTATTCATTTCTTCGCGCAATTATCTTCATTCTCTATGTATCTAGAATCTAGATGCAATTACTTATGTAATTGTGAATTATCTCAAGCACGAGTCTCATAGACTCAGACACGGATGCTAATATAAAGTTTGCCAATTATCATTTCCGTCTTGTAAAGATTCCTGGTAAAAAAATCCATACAATTATATAAAATTCTATGATTATTTTATTTCGTAAGAAAAATAATTGTTTAAAAAATATTGTACACAAGAATGTTTTTATTGCAACTTCTTTTTCTCTTCTTTCATCTGTTTTTTATATACAATTATGCATATGATAATACGAACGTGAGTTGATATCACGCAATTATATAATAACAACTATAAAGAGAAGAAAGAAAAAAATAATTGCAATTTTATTCATATCGCATAATAAAATAATTTATTTATTTATAAAAGATAGCGATTGATATTTTAATATCGAAAATAATTATGGTGCATAGAATCGTTGAAATTTTTATAAAATTATTAAATATATTTAAGATATGTATTATTTCTCTCTCTTAATTATTTATGCGAATATGCATTATCATCGTTTACGGTGGATAAGTAATCGTTGCTTATCCGTTATTCCTGAAGACAAAAATGCAATAAAGTTAAATTTTATATTCTAAAAATATCTCTTTTAAAAATGCTTCTTTTAAGCTCCGCATGAAACGTCATAAAGAAGTATTTATAATATGATATGCAAAAATATCTGTTTGATATTGAAAGGAAAGGAAGTGTCTCAAGGATACATTCTTACCTTGATCTTGGACTTGTGGACACAGGAGGGACTTCCGGGCCGCGATTTCCACTGGATCGCGATCCTCGAGTCTTTCCTCGCTCGCCAAGACGGCTCCTGTCTACCGGGTAGCTTGGAAATCACCACCACGCGCCGCGGCCGCTCTAGTTTGCACGGATAAACGCCGGATAACTGAGCCTATTCGGTGTATGTCAATGGCAATGCTCCCCTACTATTTCTTTATCAAATCGAATGATAAGCGGAACGTCATTCAAAGGACACCGCCGATCAGACACCAGTGCTGACATCTTATTACCTGCATCCCAAGTGATCTTACGCGGCTGCAACCGTAAGGTAGCAAGCGCATTTCGAGCGGTTGGAATCTGTGCTAAATAAAGTCCATAACGCGGCTGATGTATTGTCTGTTTTGACGGGACAGCACTAGCAATAAAAATCTGGTAGAAAATTACATCACTATATGAGAAAGGTATAACTAGTGTTACCATCAACTGGAATCGACATGTATCTAAAGATCCATGTCGAATTACAAGTAGAATATAACTTTTCCTGCGAAACTTTGCTAACGAAGACATCTTTAATCATCAGAGTGTAATATAGTGTTTTTAAAAAAGTGTATATTTTCTAGACCTTATTAAAAATTCATAATTTATAATATTATTATGTAATTATTTACAGTTTTTTTAATAATCTGATAGTTTATTATTTTATTAATAATTAAGCTTCTCTGAATTATGTATTCATATCAGCTCAATTAAAATATATATCCATAAATAAATGTTAAAAATTTATTATTAAAATCTGTTATTGTAAAGATGTAGGTCGCGCGTTAAGTAGAAATCTAAAAATATTATGAGATAAAGTTTTCTGAATTACTATCAGTTCAATTTATCTATTTTTATTATTTATTATCTCAGTGCAATTTCCAGATATACCTGACATATGGATTCTAGAAAATAAGAATTTTTAATCAATTTATTTATACTTACGTATTTATAACTGCGTCGATTGTCATTTTTCCTACTTTTATAATTTCATAAATCTTTCTCTCAATCTTCTTTAGTATAATTTATTTATTATATTATTATATTGCATAATTATTATTTTACTTTATTTATATCGTCATATGTCGCGTTGTGATATCCATATCGTAGGTCAATGATAAATGAGCACTCTTTATATAAAGGATATTGCCATTTAAAGTATTGTTTTGTTATAAATTCTATAATTCTGTACGTTAAAATTTAACATGTTATATACACAAAGGATGCAGAAATCGTAATATTGTAATAACGTATTTTCTAAAAAAATACTATTAATTAATCAAAATTCTAATTTAAAAATGTTGAAATTACAATTATTTTCGAGTTATTGAAACTAATCTCGACACTATCGTACATTAAGACTTTTGATGCTATAATTAATCTTTAGAATACGTTATTAAAGTTTTATATGACGGTTGCTGGATACTCTGTATAAAGGAGTGCCAAATCATCGTGTCGTGTCATTGGTGGCGTTAGCTTAGTTATTTTTGCATAGTTGTTATGGTCCCGCGACGAGGGCGGTTCTGACGCTCTTTCTCGCGTCCGATCTCTCGCAAGGCCATTAGATTTATCTTTAGCCGCCAAACACGACGATGCCGAAATGTCTTCTGTCAGATGACGAAGCAAGTGTAGAACAACTTGGGAGCATATATATAGATCCTGCTATTTAATATGATTAATAGATATGGTAATTATCGTGAAATGCAAAAGAAAATTGCAAACCTTTAAGTTTACATTAGAATTTTTTTTTTTAATGAAAAAAATAAATGATGTATCTGATGTAGATGGTATTAAATGTGTAATATGTTTGAAAAGATGTTTGATTCTTATATTAACAATTCTTGTATTCGATCCTGTCACTGTGTATATCGAATTAATACACGAAGGGATATATATAATTGACTGGCAAAGATACTGGCGTCTTTCTCTTAATGATAATATATTTGTTTTCGGTTCTCGTGAATCTATTAATAGAGCGGTAATATTTTAATATTATTGAGGATATAACAGGCAATATATATATTACAACCTATGTATAATTAAGCCTATATACAATTAATCCTAAGAATATAGGATATTCAAAAAGACGATCGTACCCGTGATGAGAGTACGTATCCTTGCGCCTTCATCCCAGACTTTCTCTATTATCATCCTCTCTTCATTCGCAACGGAAGCTTTAGTGTGTTTTATAACAAATTCCTCAATCACGTTACGCGTACATTCTGTCTCTTCGTTAAGTACATGAACAATAATATCATATAATTAATAGCGACAATAATAATAATAATAATAATAATAATAATAAAACGTGATAATGTCAATAATAATGTAATAATGTATAATAATAATAATAATAGAATAATAATAAAAGAATAATAATAAAAGAATAATAATAATTTATTTTCCTATTACGTTATGTAATAATACTTAAACTAATCCGTCCCTAACGTCTTCTCTTCCTAACTTTTTACAAAGAATTTCGCTTTTGGTTTCCACCCTGCGCATTAACTTCTACTTACAAATCTAACAAACCGAGTTAACCTCATTTAAGGTTTGAAAGGGTTTGGGACTAGACAACCACGTTCCTCAACCCGATCCTAGTTGATTATGTTTTGATATTCCTTTAGCTCCTCACCCTTTCATTGAGCCTCACTCCTGTACGAGTTAGCGCGTCGAGCGTTGCACTAACAAATCGCTGACTAGTTTCTAATCATTACGGCTACTCGACTGTGCTAATTAAGGCACTGGATCATTAAGAGTAGACGAACGTACGAGTTTGAGAAAAGTCGATCAGATGTCAGGGAATTATCGCAGTTCAATACGGTATAATCAGAGGCAATGCAATGCTTAAAACGTACACAAAACGACGCGCGCCTTCATCGAAATAATTAAACGTTAAAAAAAAAATTTAATTTTTTCAAAAATAAGTATATATAAGAAGCATCAAGTTCTCACAATTAAAACGATTTACAAATCAGATCGATTCATTCGCTCCTCGGTGTGTTCGCCTTGCCATAAAGTTAGTCGATGTTATATTTTGTCTAATACATTTAGTTGATTAATTAACATGACAAGGCCTCAAAATAAGACACTTGATCGTTTCGCTCTAATGTGCGATTTTAAGGCCACTGCGGCTAGATTAGACGCCTTCGATAACCGTGTATGTCTCGGCCTTTCTCTTTCTAAATTCACATTTTTGTGTGATTCTATCTCCCGATAAATCAGTTAACGTCTTAACTAGTAATATGCGTAATATTTTATAGCTTGTAATAAATATTGACGTATTTGTATATATATAATATATACGTAAAAACATAATCTGCTAATAAACAGAGAGCCGAAACAAGCAGTGCGCAATAAGAAATAAGATATCGGTAAACAAGTACTTTGGAAGATACATATACTTTGTTACTATAACGCATTCTCTCTATGTATAGATATATCTACAGACAGTATTCACATAATCGTGTTCCTCGAGAATAAAGAGTTATAATTACAATAATTATAAGAACAATAATTATATAATTAGCATATGTGCAAAAAAAAAGGATAAAAATAAAGAGAAATCCTCTCCCGAAATCGTTTTGATAGAAAAATTGCAGGTATTTAAAAAAGGTTACTTCTTTGATTATTCTTTCTCAGTTATTCTTCCTGATAGCTTTCTGCGTAAATCAAACGTCATCAAAAACGACGATAATAACGACAAAGAAACCGAATGTTAATTCCGTTTCTCAGGTCAGAATATATTTCACTGTGAGGCTTCTACTATCTATTATTTCCACACTACAAGCTGGTATAAGCAATTGTGCGCCGAACGACTGTGAATACCGTCCTAAACATTATTCTAAAAATCGATTCATTACAGATTAATCGCAATCATAATTTCTTCCTTTATCTGAAAACGCCTGAAAATGTAACCTAACAGCTTATGATACTAGAAATCTTGTTTACCGCGTTAAGTTTTTAAGATCTACTGAAAATTTACCTAAAAATTAAAACACGTTGCTTTCTCCGTGCATCTCTAAACCTGAATGTATAAATGATTCCGAAATTTATACTACTAGAACTTTCGCACTAATTTTATCGATATTTTTAGTTTACCGCATTCGCTTAACTTTGTCGAAGACAGATTGTGTCGCAGCTATGAGAGAGAAAATTCACGTGTATATCGTTTGACTAACACTGTTAAAATTGACTGTCAAAGAAGTCCGATTTAGGAACCACCGACGGAAATGGATAGGGGCAAGGAACTAGTATGATTATGATCTCGATGAGCTTGAATCTTAAGAAAATTAAATTTCAAGAATTGTAACACGCGGTTACATTTCGATACACCGCCTCTCATCTCGTTGTAATATTTCGAAATAGAAATCTTACAGAATAGCATTGTACCCAAAAACCTACAGCGGGTGTTTTCGCGCTTTTAACTCTTTAATGCGCTTTCAATTAACCCTCTTCTCGGCTCTCAAGTTCCGATTTGGTCGAGGGTCATTTTCTCAAACGAGCTTATTCGAGTTTGCTATAAATAATTGTAATCGTAGCTCTCTAAAAATCGTAGAGTCTTTCCTCTAAAATTTCGCGAAATATTGATATTGATCGAGAGCAGGCCGATATCTCGGCTTCACGAGAGAAATTGAGAAAAGGAAAATTAAAGGTCAGGGAAGCGAAAAAGGAAGAATACAGATTATACAGACTTAGCGAAAGAAGTCGCGATTCGTCAATCTCGAGGAAGCTGCCACTTCGTCAGATGTCATCTTCTTTGCGGTTCTCGCGGAGGTATTTCGATTGATTTGCGAGACACGATCGGGAACATAAAAGTCTCATGGAAATAGCTGAAACGAGGAAGCTGGCGAGCCGATTCCCCAAAGATGGCGAGATCGAGAACGTTTTAAAGCCCCCATCCTCCCCTCCCTCGCTTCATCTCTGTCACGTAAGAAGGCTCGGCTACAACTGTCTTGTGATGGTCTAATGTCGAAAGCGCTTTATTGCAATCTGGCCTCCTGAGGTGTTGTCTGATACTGGAGGCCTGGAAAAGCCGCCCCAGCTGCTGTTGCCGCCGCCGCCGCTGCTGCCGGCAGACCCGCAGCACCTGGCAATGTGGCGTACGTGTACGGTGCTACGTAACCTGCTGCCGCTGCATTAGCTGGAAAAAAAGACAAATTTCTTTTTTCACAAATAATATATAAATATACATATAATATTTAATTACAATACTTAAGATAAACATTTATTTAAAAAATTTTGAATCTGAAAAAATCGTCAAAGAATTTGTAGAGTTTAAATAAATGCAAGTTAAAACTATAATATATATATATATATATATATATATAAGAAGTGTTCCAAAATTAAATGATAGGTTCCTTGACCGAGATTTAGGGCGCATTTTTTCTTATTAGTAAAATATTGAAAAAGTTTATCATTTATTATAACTTTTTAATTTTTTATATCATACATCTTTGTATACAATTAAGCCTCAAATTAAAATTTTATTAAACTTTATCTGAAATTAATTGAGAAACATAGCTTTATCTACGTTTTTGGTTCTTCAAAATTTAATTCGCAAGAAGCCCTTTTTTTCAATCGCTTATAATTCGAAAGTCATTGATGACATTTTCTCCGCGAAAAAAATCGAGCCCAAATTGACCAAAAAATCTATCATTAAAAGGACATTTGATAATTTTGGGACAGCCTAACTTTACATGAAAATATTGAGAAATAATGAATCACAAAAGAAGCGTATGCAAGCGATTTGTGCGCATTGTAAACCTTCTTATCTTGTGCCTTAGCTTTTTTTTTGGAGTGCTGTTTACTCGCAATACGTAAAGCGGATGGCGCTCGTTGACCACCATCACTCATCGCGAGGACACCGCCACCATCACCACAGACAGCGCAGACAGACTGACAATATGTATATAATGCATCAATGTCTAGTTCATGAAGCGCATGCAAGACTTTGTCCTATTCATTGTTCATCCACTATCGAATAGTGAAGCGCGCGAACGGTACAACTACAACGTAACATACGATAATGTACGCAGGTATTAAAGCAAAAAATATGAATAAAAAAAATAAATAAAAGAATATACAAAGTTATTAATAAGAAGTGGGATATTCTATAATATTTCACAGAGAAGGCTGAGAATTTTGTTTACGAGAAAAATATTGATACTGATACGAGAGGCAAAATATTCAATGAATGAAGTTGAGAGAAAGCGAGATGTGTGTCAACGCAAGAGAGATGTGTAACAGGGTTCCCACGAAGGATCCGTCAGGAAATGCCCAAGGCTCTTGGACAGGATAAACGGCGCTTCATTGCATCCCCGCCTTTAAGTGCCGGCAAACACATATCCGACGTCAAAATTATTATTCCCCCTAACCGCGCGTGTAATCCAACGATGTGTAGCGGAGAAGATGTACGTCGGAAGTTGCACGTTCGATTCAATCCCCCTTCGCATTATCCGCGCGTATTCCCTCCCCTCCCCCCTGTGAAAGACGAAAAAACCAGATCCTGTGAGAACCCCGCGAAATATTTATTAAGCACTACAGGGGCAGTCCCGAGATAGATGCAGCGCAATCCTCCCCTTTCCCTCCCCTTTTTCTCTCTCTCTCTCTCTCTCTCTCTTTCTCTCTCTCCTCTCTCCTCTTCCCCTATCTCTGGAGATTTTCTACCGTAATCACGCAGCACGGACGGCAGAAATTGCGGTAGGAGAGCTTTCTCCAGCCGTTGCTGATGCGCCAACGTCGCGGGACCGTTTTGCTGCTGCTGTTGCTGCTGTTGGTGGTGTTGGTGGTGATGGTGTAACGGGTAGTTGCTACCCTTACTCTGGACACTATTCAAACACGTACCAGCCGCGGCCGCGGTCGTGTACGGATACGCCTCGGCGAAGTTGTACGAGGTGCCCGGGTAGGTCGCGGCGGCCGCCGCCGCGTTCTGGTACTCGTAGAACTGCGACGCCGCGGCGACGGCGGCTGCGTGGCTCAACTGCGTCGCCGGAAGTGGTACCAGACCACCTGGCGCCGCGGCTGCCAGGTAGGGTGACTGATACATGTAGCCTGGTGGTACCCTGCAAAACGAGAACGACGGTTGGTTATGGATGCTGATGCGGTGCGGATCCAACGACACTCGTAGATCCAATTGCGGCGGATGTGTTTGTGAATTTATTGCAACACGCGTACTCTTTCACGATAACGGCGAGATATTCCTGTTCTCTGAACGCGAGGAGCGAAACAATAATAGATTGCGTGGTTATATCCAGAGGCGAGCGTGATAATAAATAAATTGAAATAGAGGAAATAAAAATATTTATGTATTACTTCTACTATTGTATTATAAATGATTGAGATGAGATAATAATTCGTTCATATTAAGATCCCATTTAAAATATTTTGCCAATTGTAGAAATAATTAGAATTAATTTTAGAATATTTAGGAATAGATATTTCAGATATATGTGTATTCTCGTAACCGAGTAAAATAATTATTAAAAGATTACTTTTGATAGTCTGCATTTGAAATGTGCTCATCACTGGGACGCAGTTAAATGCTCCATTTGACCCGAGATCTTTTTTAACATTTTCACAATTTGATCTGTATAAATGACCGTATTTATTTCGCACATTAATTATGAAAGCATTATCAGTTGTAAATATTCTAGCAAATTTTGCCACACAAAATGTTGGTACGTAAATAAATAAAACGCCGTCTAGTTCGCGAAGCAATAATTTACAAACAGATACACCTAATCTGGACCGATCGAGAGCCATCGGTCAATGTTCGATGCCGCTTTCGAAGAAGGCGCAGCGAAATAAATCTGACGGGTCTCGTTTGGTCCAATATACTTCTCTCTTTTTATGGAACATAATGGAATCGGGAAAGAAAAATGGTGATGTAGCAATGTTACTCGTATCGTGATTGTACGTGTACATGTATGCGTGAAAATTCTCTTCGTATAATATGTGTATTGATGTAGAGTTCGCGATATCGATTATGCTAATTATCATTCGGAATTAATATTTGAAAACTCGTGTCTCTCGATCGCGCGTAGATAAAGATAATAATCATTAAATGTCCTGAGTATATCGCGGGAAGACGATTTCCTATTCGCGTGTATGCACCGTTCTTACATCGCTGATTCCTCGGCTCGCGGAGCATGCCAGAAGTCTGTCGGAAACGCGTGACGAAAAACAAACTTTCTTTAATGCATATCGCGTTACAAGAAAATTCCCGGCTCGACGGTCTTTCGCTCTCGAACAGCTCTCTACCAACACCAAAAGCACGCAACACCAAACGGTAGAGTTGAGCGAGGTACCGAGTTCTCTTCGATCGATCTTCGCGCAACATATTCTACGTAACATACGGACGATCGTACCGGAAGATGCTTCTCTGTCTCGATATGTATCGATCGGTGTGCCAGGGAAAATAAGTAATAAGTATACAACATGTTCATATTTCGAGTTGCGAAGTAGCATATCTTTCAAAATCTTCACTCAATCGTATATTCTTAAAAATAAGATATACACAATTTTCTTGTATAATATATAATATTTATTCTTTTTTATATATGTATATATTTTTTGTCAAGATGCGCCATTTCGAAACTCATGTGATGAATCATTCTGTATATCGGGTGTATCGCGCTGTTTCTCTGTAAGTTTTAGCTGTAAATTTTTGACAAATTGAATCGATTTTTCCTCAACGCGAATTTGATTGGAGGCAGCTTTCTAATTTTCGAGATTAAACGTAGACGTAATTAAACCATGAATTAAAATTTCGCTGCACACAAATTTCACCTTAAATTAATTATGAATTCGGATTTTTCATTATTTTGTCCAAACAGTAGATTTTTTCTCTATAATCTCAAAGCATGAAATTTGTCACAATCCATTAGAATTGTTGACAATACAAAATTCTTTATAATTACGCCCTTTTTATCAAATTTTCATTTAAAAAAATCGACTTCGTATTCACGCGAATCTAACCACTGAGAGAATCGCACTATTCTTCTAATTTGTAAATATATGTGTATACAGTAAATATGCATTCTGATTATGTACACAGAAAAGCAATTAAAACCGATAATAAAAGAAAGTTGCAGTTACATTGTATTACTAATATATTTATTCCATTTTGCTTTTCATTACCAAAGTATGTTCGAATAAAATTTAAAAAGTATCCAAAGAATATTTTAAAAGTATATCATACAAAGTATTACTTTAATAAATTTTTTACTACAAAGACTGTATCTTTTTACTTTGCAATAAAAAGTCACGAATCTCGCGCGCATAAAGTATAAGAAAAGATATTTCTCTTCGACTAATATTAGTATGCACAATGAATATGTATGTAAGTATATGTATGTGTGTGCATGTGTTTGCCGGATATTTTGTGGGAGAAGGAAGGAAAGACGGGAGAAGGGGTGAAAGAGGGAAGTAAGTTGATGTGAAAACGGTAAACTTGTTGCTCTCACTGTGGTATCAATAATAAGGCGAAAAACGTACGCAACAATCCAAGAAAAAAAGAAATCTTTCACGTGTTGGCAAAACAACAACAAACCAACGACAAACGTGTATATAGGTGACTGCACGAAATATAAATACTTCTCGGCACACGGCACACGATTATCTAACACCAACGTTAGTACCTAAAATTCACAGATCTGAAGAAACGTCTCGGGTTCGCTCTCTCCGATTTTTACAATCTTCGGATATACCATAGAGTAGCTTAAAGCAAAGGACACGTATGTATTTTTATAAGTACTTCAGTGCAGATTTAGGGAGAAAAAGCTCGATATTTAAAACATAAACTCAATAAAATAATTTGTATTGATTATTGCTTGAATTATAAAATATATGAAAAGATAAAAAATAAAAAAACAAACATTTATGGTCACACTTATAATATTTAATACAAATGTAATAAAAATATAAAGAATAAAAATTAAAATAATGTTTCAAATTTTACTCAAATAGAAAAATATAAGAGAAACCACTATCGCGTCACACGCTTTTTTACTATCAAATATATGTGCGTTTGCGCACACCATATTGTTCGATAAACTTGTTCGCACGACGAAGACAAACATTCTTGACTGCATGCATTCATGCATGTGTGCATCATCCGCGTTATGTAATATTGCTTTAGTCAATCGATAATATTCGATTTTGAATATGTCAAAATTATGTCGAGAAATTGTTGCATTCCCTAAATCTGCGACAAAACGTAAAAAAATACAGAATATCGTTTATTTTAAACTACTCCAAAATATGTCAAAGTTTCAAGAAAATCGACGCGAGACGTCTCTAAACGCATCCTTGTAAGAAAGGAAGAAAAAAGATAGTACATTTCTCTCACGGCAGTGCCTCTGTCTCTCTTACACTTTTTCTCTTTTACTCTCTTTGCCTTTCTTTATTTCTTCTTAAATAATAACACGCGGAAGATTCCGATCTGGCGAGCGTTCTTCAATCACCCGCGAATTTTGTTCGCCGATTCGAATTCTTTCTTATCGATCGATGTGTACTCTGCGAATACATAAAAATACAGGTAAATTTGTTGTTTAAATTCATCGTATTCCGAAATTGATAATTTATTATACGTGATATTATTATTATTTTTAATCATTCGGATATATATAAATAAACAATTACAATAATTGATGTTCTTTGTCGCTAAAAATGTTTAATTTATAATATTTCAAAGTTTTAAAGATTTAATTTAATCAAGTAGATTAAACAAATTTTCACGGAAAATCAAATGTGTGCAACTCATATGGGAGATATAAAATTAAAATATTTATATATTATAAGGATAAATATCCGACCAAATTTGGACAAATTATATTTTGAAGTCACACACATACATACACACTACGTCTTAATCGTAATTTTATCCGATCTAATCTAATTTAATGGTACTGGTATATTTAGGTAAACCTACTCTCGACATGCGATCTCAATAAACTGTACCTATGGAACGCGTAGCGTGCGTAGTAAATTATGAATTGAGAGAGCTAACGGATATTCAATGACCGATTAAACATCAACGGGCGATTCCGAAGCATTTCGAGAGACGCTGAAGGAACCCGGCCTCTTTCCCGGAGACAGCCCTGAACTTTTTAACGGATCGATAATAGCCAGTGTCCAGTCTACGAAGGAAATCAATATGTCGTCCTGCGGCTTCGAACAACACAGGGCTCCTCCACCTACATCGGATTGGTGCCCGCTGACCATTATCGCACAATCGCAAACAATCGAGAGCGCTTCGACACGCGTGTCGCACGTCGCGCTTAATTCGCAAACGAGTAAGTCTCGCGCTGCAACGGGGGGAAGGGAAAGGTGTTACAATGGACACGTAGAATCGACGACCTTGAATTGGAGCTGTCATCCAGGATGGATGAGCGCGCGATCGATGGACATTACATGAGGCGGGAAGGGTGAAATTGATAAAGGTAGAAAAGAGCGATATGTACATATGTATGTCCCCACATCGCGCTATAACGCGACGTCGCATTGCGGATGGACGGTACTTTCATCCGTGTCATTTCGAACGAGCGAGAATCCGGTTCTCTTACTTGCAACGATTTGCAGGAGAAAAAATAAGAATAATCTCCGCGTCTGAAAATATTAAATCGTATAACAAAGATGGCTGGTCTAAACGTGTGAAGATTGTTAGATAGAAAAAATATAACATTAATTATAATTTTCTTACAATTAAATATTTTTATTTGTATAAGATTTTTAAGGAAAATCCGCGAGTAACTTGATAAAAATGCGTTTGCGAAAGGAAGATAAAATCGACGACCTTGGTGCGGCCAAATGCAGCAAAAGAATCAAGAAGCGTAAAGAGAAAAAATTTATGCAACGACGCTATACGTAGCTTTTTATTTTTTTTTTTGTCGCAAATTATTTCGGCTCAGTCAAGTTTAAATTTTCGCGAATTATTCGCAGCATCATCGGAATGTCTCGACGTTATTCTTAACCGAGACAAAGAGATTCGCGAGGGAGAATAAAAATAAAAATGAATAGAAGCGCGCCATGTGTGATAAATAAAACGCGACACGTTGCATGA